AGTGAATATTTAGGCTGATTTTCGTTAATTTCTATTGCTTCGCTTTAACGTGAGCGTGTTTTACACAGACAGACAGACGGACATAGCTAAATCGACTCAGAATTTCATAAGGACCCAGAATATATATACGTTGTTGGGTCCCAGATGAATATTTCTTGGTGTTACATACGGAATGACGAACTTATATATACCCTCTTTCACCACTGATGGTGGTGGAGGGTATAAAAAATAGTGAGAGTTAATAAATAGTGAAAATCTAAATTTACCGAAAATCAAAAAAAAAAAAATTCTATTGAAGATATAACAAATTAGAGTGCTATATTCGGCTGAGCCGAATCTTAAATACCCTCCACCAGCTACTTATATATCAATACTTTTCTAATTGATCAAATATTTATAGAAATAAGTTTTCTCATGTCTTGAATAGAAAAAATACAAAGATTTAAACAGCTTAATCGTTATGTCAATACCCACATACCCGGGTATGTTTTCCATTTTTGTAGTGATATATTTCGAGATCTATATATCGTGTCGGCTTGAAATTTGGTCTATGCTTTCAGAGTAATATTTTCTATACATTTTTAAAAAATTAGATGTGTATATATTAAACTGATTAATGACCGATTTTCTATTTTTCGTGTACCAATACCCAACATACCACTGTATGTATAAAAATTATATTTCAGTTATCGGACAAAAATTAAGTTTCATTATAAATTTTATGTTTTATTATTAGAATTATATATATTTTTGTATCTTATGAAAAAAATTGAACTAAACAACAAATTTAGTTTCAAATACAGAGTCATGTATCTTTATTCCTAAATTTGAATGTGAAATATTTGTGGACCCTGTAACATTAACAAATATGGGCCGATTTTGATGAAAAAAAATTATTTTTATTGTATATGACTTAGTAAAGTAAAATTAAGCTGATTATAATAATTTTATTCTCGTATAAACAAAAATATTTAAGTTTAAATTTTAAAATTTGAATTTTTGACCATGACTTAGCAATCTTTTTTTGCAAAAAAGTTCCATACTTACGAAAGCAAAAACAATTTCTTTAAAGCTAATCGATTTTATACACCTTAATAAATAAAATATATAAAGTTTTGTTCAATTATCTTTCCCGGTCACTGAATAATAGCTTCTTGAAGTCAAAATTTTACAAAGTCAAATTCTGCATAGTGTAAATTATACGTTATAAAGGCGTTTTTCTTTAGGTTTTTTTGCGTATGATATTTTTGTTAATAGGAAAGTAATAAGAAAACTTAAAAAAATTGCTAAAATTTAATGGTTAATGATCAAAAACTATTTAATTTATATATACAGAGGTTTTATTAAATTAGTTTTAATAATTATCTGAATTATACACTAGAAATGTATAAAAAGATGAAATAGCCATATAAATTGTATGACATACCCGGGTATGTTGGGTATTGATGTACGTAATTTTGCTGGGGTATAGACAAGACGGTTAAATCTATTACAATTCCATGATTTATTGAACCTTACATACGCCATTTTCTTTATATTTTTATAGCGCTTAGCGATATTTAGTAATTTGCATGTATATGTGTGTAAAAGATTTAAGGATTTTCAAAATAAATTTATATAATTTTGTTCCACACAAATTGATAATACAACTAGTTAAATACGGTTAAAGCGTTTTTAGGGTCAGGACATAGTATGGGAGATATGACCAATTATAGATCGATCGTAAAAAAATTCTTTAAGCTAAATTTATGTTCATAAAACCTATATTTCAGTCAAATTTTGTATCTATATCGTAATTTAGTAATAAGTAATGTATGTTGAAGTGATTTTTTGAAGGGAACCTTGTATGGGACCGACCGCACCCATGTTATGAACTGATCGTGAAAAAATCTTGAAATAGAATTTTTGTATACAAAATTAATATTTGGGCCAAATTTTTTTATCAATAGCTTTATTTGGTAATGAGTAATGTGCGTTTAAGAGATTTTCGTAAAAGGACCTTGTATGGGAGCTATGACCAATTATGTATATAAAGTAGGGTGATCGATTATTCGACATTTTCCAAAAACCGGTTTTCGAATAGTTCGAATAGTTGACATTTAAAAAAAACCGGTTGATATTTTTCAAATACAGAAAAAACCGGTTAACCGGTTTTTCATTATAAATAAAAAAAATATATTTTAATTTAAAAAACTTAATGTTTATGTTTAAATTTGATTAATAAAACATGGCCCGAAATGATTTTTAACAGTTTAAAAGATTATAACTTTAGATCTAGTCGTCTGATTTACATTATTTCTTTAATATAAAAAAAATTAGGAAAAAAGTGGGACACTTCTGTTAAACATAAGGTACTATGTAATCCTAGCTTATTTTAAAAGCCCTGTTTAGGAAATTTGCATAGGCATTCCAACACTTCCATAAAATTTCAGCCGTAAATTAATTATTGTAATTGGAATATAATCTTAAGATTGATAAAATTTTATCAAACAGTTATCAATTTTACAAATAAATTTTTTTAATTAATTAGGAAAATCAAAGAAGTTTAACCAAAGGAGCTGTAGAAAAATATACGCTAGTTCCTCGACTCGAATATTTTTAAAATTTAGACGGGCTGTATTATTATTTACTTAAAAATTTCATTTAAATAATCTTTGAATACAAAGCAAATAAAAGTATTCGAAACCGGTTTTTAAAAAGTGAAAAAACCGGGTTATTCGATATTCGAAAAATCAACATTAAGAAAAAACCGCCACTGGTAAAGCAGAAAAAACCGGTTTTAAAACCGGTTGAAAAATCGAGTCGATCACCCTAATATAAAGACAAAATTTCTAAATTCTGTATCTATATCATTATTTGGTAATGAATATTTTGCATTTAAGTGATTTTCTGGAGGGAACCTAGTATGAGAGCTATGACCAAATATGGACCGATCGTAAAACAATTTTATAGTTTAATTTATGCATATAAGAGCAATATTTTTGCTAAATGTATGGATATTAATATTTTGTGCGTTTAAGTGATTTTCGGGAGGGGACCTTGTATGGGAGCTATGACCAATTATGGACCGATCAGAAAAAACTTTCACAGTAAAATTTCTGTGCATATGGGTAATACTTATTGTTGGGCCACAATGGGTTTTTTTAATATTTATTTTTTTACCCTTTTTCTCTTTTTAATTATAATAATGAATTGAATTTAATAATAATAACAATAATAATATAATAAATGAATTTAATAATACTTACCTTTACTTACTTACCTTTACTTACTTACCTTTACTTACTTACCTTTACTTACTTATCTTTACTTACTTACCTTACTTTTAAGTTATGTAGTAAACCCTTACAGCTTACATGTTAACTGTAACGGGTTTGCTGAAAATAATGTATATAGAAAAAAGTAGGCTTTTTATTTTTACATAAAAAGCAAAATAAATACTTACTTGCGAATTAAACTTAAACCTTACGGTCGTTTTTATTTAGACAATTTTCACCAGGGCCCAAATTTTTAAATTATAATTTGTTTAATTTAATTTTGTTTTTTTTTTAATTTCTTAAAAAATATTAAGAAAGAACATTTTGGCGCCCGAGCAGTGACTTGTGAAAAAATAATAAATAAAGAATAAAATTTTTGATAAATTAATTCAAATTTATTTTTATTAAATAAAAAGTGTTTTTTTTATATAAATATTCACAAACAATAAACAGTGATAATAACAAAAAAAAAGTGAAGTGTTTAAACAAACAATAAATAAACAAACACAACACAACACTAACCTACACAACATTTAAAACAACAAAACATCGTCCACGGATTCCAACATACTGGTCATCTTCCTCATCTTCATAGCCACCAGATGCCTCGTCGTTGCCGCTGCATTATTTGTCGTGCTGAAAGAAACCAGGGGAGTAACTCGGAATCCGAACAAGAGGTAAAAAGTGTAAAAAATATTAGTGTAAAAACCTTAAATTTGTAATTTAATCAAATTTAAGAGATTTTTGTAAATTATTCAAAAATTTTATCACTTTGCACGTCGTACACTATAAAATATTTTTTACACTTTATTGTTGTGAAGCATTTCATTTATTTAAATATTTTATTTAAAAAACCCACCCTTAAAAGTGAGACAATCGCGAGTGTTTTGTTTTTATTATAAAAATATATACACACACACGCACATACTTTACTCTTTTTATCGTTGAGAGATAAATTAATATTTCACAATTTAGTCTTGTATGCCGTCGGTATTATTTTCATTCGGAAAATATTTTTTTATTTTATTAAAAATACACTAAAATATTCGCGGGTGTTAAATTTTTTAATTACAAAATTATTAACTTTTTATTTATTTACTTCTTGTTTTCTTTTATTCTTTCATTTGTTGATCAATTTGTTAAGATCATATTTCAATTCCACGCGTTCCTATACCACTCACATTGAATTGTTTACATCAGCTGTAACAGTGTAGTGCGTTTACACTAGCATCGAAAAGTTAAATTTCATACAAATTGAAAATATCAACTTGTTTGTTTGTTCACACTAGCTTCGAAAATTTTTATTGAATATTATTATAATATTAATATTGATTAGTGTGTTCAAACAACTAGTTATTAATAAAAACAATATTTTGTGAAATTTAACTTAACTTAATAACGATTTTTCTTGGTAAAAGAAAATAAATTTATTATTTATTTTTACCAAAGGCTGAAAAAAGTGGTATTACGGAAAATTAAATAAATTAATTTTAATTTGGAATAAAGTGATCGGTACAAAATTGCGAATAAAAGATTAATTCGAGAAGAAATAGTCCGAATATTGTGTAACCGGCGACAGATTTCATTTAAATTCGAAAATAAATATTTTTTTTTATACAATTCTGAGATCCAAAGCAAGAATTTAAATTCTTTTTGGAAAATTTTGATTTGTCAATAAATTATTTTGATAATTTTTTATAGTTTTTCTGCTTTGAGGAATTAAATTAAATATTTATTTTTATAATGGTTGGTAAAAAACGCCAAGATTCACCTTCCAAATCGGAAGCTTTGACAAAAGCATTAGAAAAGAAAGCAAAGGTTGTACAAAATATAGAGAGAATCCGTCAATCTATTAGGGAAAAGACTATTTCTTTTAATCCTATTGAGCTAGAATGTAGATTGGACATATTGACAAGTTATATAGACCAAGCAATGAAGCTTCAGTCTGAGGTTGATAATTTAGATCCCAATAATGATGACAGAGCTGAGCTTGAGAATATTTGTGTGATAACAAAATCATTGTTTTTAAGTATCTTGGCTAAAACTAGAAAATCGAGTGTGCCTGAAACATCGTTTAGTGTACAGTCACACCAGTCGAGATTACCAAATATGAAGCTCCCTAAATTCAGCGGAAAATATTCCGATTATAGAAACTTTATGAGCCTATTTGAGAACTTGGTCCACAATGATCCGATGTTGACAGACATAGAAAAATTTAACCATTTAATATCATGCTTGTCCGAAGAAGCTTTAGGAACAGTAAAAGCTTTTCAGATTTCTGAAGAAAATTATCCCAAAGCTTTAGCTAGTTTAAAGAAGGTTTACGACAATGAATGTTTGATATTTTTCGATAATATCTCTAAACTTTTTGATCTTTCAGAGATCACAAAACCTTCGGCATCTGCTTTGCGAAGCATGATTGATACTGTTTCTGCAATTTATGATTCTCTTTTATCTATAGGAGATGATAAAAAGATTACAAATGCTATTTTAATCCATTTAGTGATGTCAAAAGTAGATCCAGTGACCAAATCTAAGTGGGAAGAACAGCTAGATTTCGAAAAGCTGCCACTATGGCCAGACTGTGAAGCCGCCTTGAACAAACGGTATCAGCATATTGCTGCTGATGAATCTTCAAGTTCAAGGCCGAGGTTTAATAAGAACAAAACTGACAATTCTACAAACAAAAATAATAAAACATCACTAAATTGTACGAAATCAAGACAATCTACTGACAAATTCTTATTTTGCAAATCAAATCAGCATATAGTTGTTAATTGCCCTTCATTTGCAGCTGAGCCTGTACTTCAAAGATTTGATTTTATAAAATCTGTGCCAGCTTGCATCAATTGTTTGAAAAAAGGACATACAGTAGCTAGATGTTCAGCACCTAAGTGTAGAATTTGCTGTGGTTCACACAATGCACTGCTACACAGATACACAACATCTGATAATAGCAATGCGTCTAATAGCAACTTTGAACAGCAGTCAACTTCTAACGCTTCAGTAAATTACTCATCTTCTGATGATAGAATTATTCTAGCGACAGCTGTGGTAAAAGTTAGAAATAGTTCTGGCAATTTTATATTAGCCAGAGCTCTTTTAGATTCCGGTTCTCAACCAAACTTGATAACTGAGGAACTTGCACAGCTACTACGATTAAAAAGAGAAGGAGGTAGATTGAATTTGAATGGCATTTGCGAAACAAATTCATATTCAAAATCTTGTGTTAATTTACCTGTCACGTCGAGGGTTAACTCTACTCAATTTACTTCAAAGTTTTGGGTTTTGAGTTCTATAACTAATTTACAGCCTGATCATTCAATTAGTACAACTAGCTTAGAAATTCCTAAAAATATAGAATTAGCTGATCCTTGCTTTCACAAACCCCAAAAGATTGACTTATTAATTGGCGCAGAGATATTCTTTGACTTAATTTCTGTCGGACAAATTAAATCTGGTCCTAGTCTTCCAATTTTACAGAAGACTTCTCTTGGTTGGATTGTTACTGGAAAGTATAATCAATCAAAGGGATCTAACGCCAATAATAAAGTTTTTCATATAAATTCTTCTATTGAAAACGAGAGCAATATAGATTCTATTGTTAAAAAATTCTGGGAATTAGAAGAAATTCCGAAAGAATCGACAAAAATATATTCTGAAGAGCAGCAGGAATGCGAGGAAATCTTTAGAAATTCAGTACGACGTTTATCGTCAGGACGATTTGAAGTCTCATTGCCTTTCAAATCTGATACAAAATTGCTAGGTTCATCTTTCGAAACCGCTAAAAGAAGATTTCTTTCATTAGAACGAAAACTTTCTTAAAATAATGAAATCAAGCAAATGTATCATGATTTTATGAAAGAGTATTTCGACTTAGGTCATATGTCAATTGTAGACAAAATACCAGATTTTCCTTATTATTTCATTCCACATCAATGTGTATTGCGACTTCAGAGTAGTACTACTAAACTTCGAGTAGTTTTTGATGCTTCATGTCGAACTTCTACACATGTATCACTTAACGATCTGTTAATGGTTGGTCCCACAGTGCAAGAAGAATTATATTCGACATTGATCCGTTTTCGTTTTCATAAATATGCGATCACTGCAGATATTGAAAAAATTTATCGTCAAGTTTTAGTTGGGAAAACGATAGAAATTATCAATTGATCCTTTGGAGGCAGAATCCATCTGATAGTTTGAATGTGTTTCGCTTAAATACTTTGACTTATGGCACAGCGTCTGCACCATTTTTAGCTATCAGATGTTTGATTCAATTAAGCGATTTATACAAAGAGACTTTGCCTATTGGTTCAAAAGTAGTTCACAGTGATTTTTATGTTGATGATTTGTTAACTGGAGCTGAAAGCTACCAAGACCTTAAAATAATTTAAAACCAGGTTACTGAAATTTTAAGTTCAGCTGGTTTTAAACTTACAAAATGGTTTTCAAATCATCCAAATTTTATTAGTTTTTGGGGAATGATAAACTATTACACAGTGATTCCGATTTAGCTAAAGCTCTAGGCATACACTGGGTTCCGAAGAATGATTCTTTTAAGTTTCATTTGGAAGACAATTTTCATGATTTAAAAGCCACAAAAAGAAACATTTTATCAGTTTCTTCTCGATTGTTCGATCCTCTCGGACTCCTATGCCCAATTGTAACAAAATCCAAAATGTTGTTACAAGAACTTTGGATACAAAAACTTGACTGGGATGAATCGATTCCCATGAGACTAAATGCTCCATGGGAAAATTTCAAATCTAATTTAATGGAAATTGATTCAATAACTATCCCAAGATTCGTCCACACGACTTCGACAGCAAAAATGGGTGTTGTTTGTACATTAGAAGTTCTGATGCAAATAATACTGTATCAAGGCTGCTTACAGCTAAATCTAAAGTTGCTCCGCTCAAGACTAAAATCTGAGTTATGTGCTGCGCACCTATTGTCTAAATTGTGGTCTCGAATTAAGTTATTGTTGAACTTTGAAATCGAGAATGTTAATTTCTGGACAGATTCAAAAATTACACTTCACTGGATAAAAACACATCCTTCATCACTTGCAACTTTTGTTTCAAACCGAGTTGCTGAGATTCAAGAATGGTCAGATCAAGTTTCATGGCGCCATGTGCCAACTAAAGAAAATCCGGCTGACATTGTTTCTAGAGGATGTGATGTAAACGAATTGAAAAATTCCATCTGGTTTGAACTACCTTCGTTTTTGCTAAGCGATAGCTCACAATAGTTCTACTAGAAAAAAGAAAAACGAATGTATTTGTTGCAGTAGAGGATTCACAAAATTGCTTGTTGAATCTGACAGGAAAATATTCTTCTTACAAAAAGTTACTACATGTAACTTCTTTTGTACTTAGATTTGTCGACGTTTTGAAGAAACGTAAGATAAGTAAATCATCTGTACCTATTGCAAAAGAGTTAAAGTGGTCATTCTTACGACTTGTAGAGACAATCCAGAGAATTAACTTTTCTGAGGAGATATTAAAAATGCAAAAATCTCTTGTCTTGCCGTCTAATATACAAAGATTGACGCCATTTATACATACATTTGAAGAAGAAAAGAGAAAGTTTTCACTATTAAGGGTAGGTGGGAGATTGCTTAACGCAAATTTGGATTACAATACCAAATTCCCACTTTTATTGCCGAAAAGAAATAGTTTTGTCACGCTTTATTTGCGAAACCTTCATTTCGAAAATAGTCATGCTGGCACAAAAGCTCTTATTGCTCTTTCGAGAGATAATATTTGGCTAATAAATGCCAAAGAAGAGTGCTGCAGAATAGTTCGCAAGTGTGTACATTGCTTCCGCTATAAACCTAAACTTATGTCACAAATAATGGGAAATTTACCCACTAATAGAGTGAGAGCTACTCGACCATTTTTAACTGTCGGAGTAGACTTTTGTGGTCCCATAAACGTTTCATTAAGAATTCGTGGTAGACCCCCATTAAAAATGTATATAGCGGTTTTCGTGTGTTTCACTTCTAAGGCGGTACATCTAGAATTAGTATCTGATCTTTCGACTGATGCTTTTCTTCTTTCTTTTAAAAGGTTCGCTGCCAGGAGAGGACTTCTACAAGTGGTGCTGTGCGACAATGGGACGAACTTCGTCGGAGCCAGCCGTGTTCTCAAGGAACTTCATCAAGCGTTCGACAAAAGCCGGCAAGCAGTCGAATTGTTCGCAGCGTCGTCCGGGGTGAGGTTCAGCTTCATACCAACCCGGGCTCCTCACTTCGGCGGGCTGTGGGAAGCCGCCGTCAAGCAAGCGAAGTTCCTACTTCTGCGAGCCGTGAGCAACGCGTTGCTAACGCAAGAAGAAATGGCGACAATGCTCGCAGAGGTAGAGGTGGTGCTCAACAGTCGTCCAATAGCACGGCTGTCTCCAGACCCCAACGACGGAGAAGCGCTGACACCAGCACACCTACTAATCGGCGGGGTCTGCGTTCGCTGCCGCCCGAATCCGCAGAAGGCGTGACAGGCAAAGAGGCGAAGTTATGGAAGCGTTGGCGTCTGCTTTGCGGTCTCAAGCAGACATTTTGGCAAGCCTGGTCTCGAGACTACATCCTGGGGCTTCAGGGCAAAGCGAAGTGGACCAAGGAAATGCCCAACCTCCAGGAAGGCCAAGTGGTCATAGTCCACGAGGACAATTGCCCGCCACAGCAATGGTTGACCGGGAGAGTCGTTCGCCCCGTCGAAGGCGAAGACGGCAAGGTCAGAGTGGCGGAGGTCAAGACCAGAAGCGGCGTATATAGACGTCCTGTCCACAAACTGGCTCCACTGCCAAACATTTGAAGACCTTCGGTCCTTCAATGGGGCCGGAATGTTGGGCCACAATGGGTTTTTTTTAATATTTATTTTTTTACCCTTTTTCTCTTTTTAATTATAATAATGAATTGAATTTAATAATAATAACAATAATAATATAATAAATGAATTTAATAATACTTACCTTTACTTACTTATCTTTAGTTATATGTTATGTAGTTTTAAGTTATGTAGTAAACCCTTACAGCTGACATGTTAACTATAACGGGTTTGCTGAAAATAATGTATATAGAAAAAAGTAGGCTTCTTATTTTTACATAAAATGCAAAATAAATACTTACTTGCGAAGTAAACTTAAAACCTTACGGTCGTTTTTATTTAGACAATTTTCACCAGTGCCCAAATTTTTAAATTATAATTTATTTAATTTAATTTTGTTTTTTTTTTTTTAATTTCTTAAAAAATATTAAGAAAGAACACTTATACCAAATTGTATATGGATATCTTAATTTAGTAATGAATTATTTGCGTTTAAGTTATTTTCGGGAGGGACCTTGTATTGGAGCTATGTCCAATTATAGACCGATGCTGAAAATTTTTTCTTTGAATGAATTCTATTCACATAAGATTTTAATTTGTAAAATTTTGTGAAGATCTCGACATTGTGACGGAAGTTATTAACAAAAAACCCATTTTCCGGGAATATGTACTTTTGTATGGGAGGTATATGAAATTGTTGATCTGGCAATTTTCAGCAGGAGTCAAGCTCTTGTGTAGAAACGAATGTATGGTGATTTTCGTGGAATTATCTTGCATAGTTTTCGATAAAATTACATCAGAATGTGTAAAAAATGCTTATTTTTTTCGAGGTTGTTTCAAATTTTGATTCATAACTTTTCCTGGTGTGAACCGATTTTGCTTATTTTCAATACCAAACTGTCTAGGACAATAATAAATATTTTGGGTGAATTTCGTTAATTTTTGTTGCTTCATGTTAACGTGAGAATGTTTTATACAGACAGACAGACGGACGGACGGACAGACGGACATCGACTCAGAATTTCATAAGGTCCAAGAATATATATACTTTGTTGGGTCTCAGATGAATATTTCTTGGTGCTACACACGGAATGACAAAGTTATATATACCCTCTATCACCACTGATGGTGGTGGAGGGTATAAAAACATTTATCTGCAGAAAGAACATTATCTTTCTTATAAATATATTGAAAACAAGTAGAAAATTTGAAATTTTGTGTTTGTTTTCAATATATTTATAAGAAAGAAAATTTTGTATCGATATTGTAAAACAGGGAGTATAAAATAAAAAAAAAATTAATTGAAAACAAATAAAAAATAATTTACTTAAATGTTTGTTTGACAATATCGAAACAACATTTTCTTTCTTATAAATATATTGAAAACAAACACAAAATTTCAAATTTTCTACTTGTTTTCAATATATTTGTAAGAAAGATAATGTTCTTTGGCATTTAGAGAAAGTAAAAAAGTATATATCAAAGTATAAAAATTTTAAAATTTTCAGTATATAAAAATTAAAAAATGCAATAAATAGGAGGTAAATAGTTATATAAATTAAAATAACTAAAATTTTATAACATGTGGAAATTTACTGAAAACATTAATATTTTTTTTTAATTTTAAAAAGATATAAATTAATTTAAAATTTTAAAAAAATCCATATATTAAAAACAAAATTAATTTTTAGAAAATATATAAAAAAATTTATTTTTAGAAAACAATAAAATATTAAAATGTTAAAAAATTTTTAAAAACATTTTTTTAAATTTATTAAAAATGTTTCTATAAAGCTTTTATTAAAACTGTTTTATTTATTTTTACAGCTGCTAAGGTAACATACAAAAGCTTGCAATATATTCAAAAAGAAGAAATAAAAGAAGCCATACCACCTCTTGGCCTCCGAATTGATTTTCGGGAGAAGCTCTTTAAATGGAAAAAACAGCAGGTAAATCATAAAAAATGTGTTATATACTTGATTGTATCATTTTATATAA